AAGTTATGAATACATTAGCCAGCGCATTAGCAAAGTAACTCACTGACATTCCTTCTATCCAGCAAAGACCTTATGTTGTTAGTGGTGTTCTGATAACCTGAGGTACAGCTTATTATAACTACAGTCTGCCACTGTCAGTGAGACATGGAGGCATTAAAGAACAGTAGCACCATCTTGTGGGTTTTCTAGCAACAAACTATCATCAAAGTATCCGAGAGGGACATATTTTATTCCCATGACAGAAACAACATATACTGTATATAATTTATCTTTGTAGATCCTTGAGTGCATTTAATTTATGTGTAATAAAAACTGTCTGTAACCATCTGAAATCTGACTATAACTAGATTGGCTGCAGAAGAGTTTCATATCCTTAAACCATCAAAACTCATATCTTTTGTTAAAGTTAGGCTTTATGTTCATAAACACTGCCCAGACTTTCTACTGTTTCCAACTTATATAAAAAGCCTGTGTGTAAATATTTTACTGTTTTGTAATAAAGGTAAATAAAGTACTCCAGTTGTATACATTGGTGTTATGTTACAACACAACATTTCTCAAGTGATAATATATGTTCTGTTACAATGAATAGTCATTAACATATTGTATATTTAGTTAAAAGTGACACACAGGGTGTACATGAAGGAAAATAAAGAACCACGTGGGGGAGCACTGCAGCAGAGAAAGATCTGTCAAAATGTTGTTGTTCCCTTCCTCTTGACCCCTGAAGTGACAGAATGAACAATGACGTCATTTCCATTACTCTGTATGTTGATCACACTTGTAGTCTGGGGCTAAAATAACTCTCACAAATTCCTTTAAATGAGACCAAAATGTACCATCATCCAGCTGATAAAAAGATTACCGTTTGAGTTTCCAGCATGTTGACATTTGGACATACAAGGTTTTCATCTGATAAAAAAAAAGGAAAGAAGGATATTTATGTGTCTTAACATGTACTGTTTGTATATTTTGGGAAGTCTCATTACTTCCTGTAGATTATGAGCTGTATATCTGTTCAGTAAAGTCACGTTTAATGTATCTTAAATGATTTAAAACTTAATAAAAAGTTATATTCTAATCTTTTTGTTTAAGAAGTATCAAGTTTGTGAAACACAAGTTTCTTTCTTTTGTGGCTGTCGTGTGCAGTCTGCTTGAAAGGAACATAGAAGTGATAGTCTAACTCTGTGGCACTTGTGGGGGGCTGGGTGAAAGTTATTTTCACACATTAAGTCATCCACAAACAGGAACTTTGTTTAATCGTCGCCATTTACAGATCTATAGTAGAGAAGAAAAGCCTCACACAGCGTCCGCCTGCTGACAGAGAATAGACACAAAATGTCTCTACTGGCATTAATCCTTATTTTTGTGCTTCACTTTGAAGGTAAAGCTCTGTTTTCTTATTAAAATGGTAATAACAATATTATTAATAGAAACACTAGAGTTTGAGAATTTCCATTAACATTTTTTAATGGCTCGTGTGAAAAATAATGAGGAAGTAGTCACTATTGTCTTACTTTAAAAGCCATTTTAATGAGCTTTGATCAACTTTCTGGCCTGTAAAAATTAACCAACGGCTGTGATACAAGAACAGGATAGCAATATGAATCAATTATTTTTAGATAGATCCTTAAATGCATATATACTTCAACATAGTAGATATAAAGATAAGTAATGATCATATAGTCAGTCTGCTCTCTGTGTTCTCATTGGTTCCTTTAAACTCCACCCAGGGCGGATCTAGAGAAATATTCATGGTGTGGTAAGAGCGTGGCAGAAATATCTGCTGATTTAATCACATTTTAACTCAATAACATTACACTATTGTGGCACATTGGTAATAGAAATAGAATAGATTCAGATAGAAATATATAAATGTGGCATTAGAAAACAATAAATTGTTAAATATCCAAATCTTCAGACATTTTTGTGTGTTTATTGAACTTAATCTGATCACTGAGTCTAAAATGTGGCCATAAAAGATCATTAAATGATATATGTTTCGTTTTTTAACACACTAATTCTAAAATAAATATAAATAGACGTCATATTTGATGGCAATTGACACCAAACTGGGGTGGTAAGGCATTTTTTAGATCCAACACTTGATTCCATCCATGTGATAAAGTATTATTGTATTTACATTCTAACTTGATGCAGTTAGTACATAAAGTGCATAAGATGACACAAGTACATACACAAGTAAACAAAGACAATAGGATCAGATCTGCAGTTTTAATTTGGTCTCAGACAACATTTGTTCATTGTGATCGACTGTGTGTTGCTTGTTTTGTTCCAGTTTTCACAGTGGAGGTAAGCTGTATCCCAAAGAGCCCTTGATTCACTGATTTACTGAGATAGAAATGAGAATTACTCTCATATAAACACAACCACTAGATGGCCGAGGGTCACACACTCCCTCCCTGTGGTTGCAAATGTGAAAAAACAGCAACAATGAAAAAACAGTTCATAACGGAACAATCTTTGTTTTTGTTTGAGAATAAGATGAAATAAAATCCTCATGTTAACTGTTTAGTCTCCATACAGATGATTTTATGTGTAATTTCTTACAGAACATGTATTCTTTTCTTCCCAGCAGGCATCAGTGGAGAACCTATCTATCTCTACAACAGATCTGGACATGATGTTATTCTGCCCTGTGCCAGTGCATCACCCTCTGACACAACATGCTCCATCATTACATGGTTTTACAACACATATCAGTCTTATAGTTCCATTGAGGTTCGGAAAGGAAAAGTTGTGGAGAGCTCAGCCCGAGCTGCCAGGATGAGTCTGGACACTTCCTGCTCTTTGGTCATTAACAACATCACTGCTGAGGATATTGGTCAATATGCCTGTCGGCAGGGAGGAGCCCTAATCATGATGCAATAGTATATCTAAGTGTTCTGAAAAGTGAGTCTCAATTCCATAAAAACTCATTGAAATGATCAAGAGAGAATTTTACTTTTGGCAAATGTTTTTGGGACAAAAATGTTGTATTGTTTCAAGCTCAACCTCAATCCAGTTATACATCCTTTTCTTGTCCACTATGTCTCTTCTTTAAAGGCATTTCCCAAACCCAACCAGTGAGCAAGGTGTCTGTCAGTGTAATATGTCAGTTTCTGATTAAGGTGAACCATGAAGAGTTTACCTGTTTATTTTATATCCTTCTATATATTACGGTGAAGTAATTAACACTGTGGCCTTTTCCCAAACCGACCCCTCCCTCACTCCCTCAGCTGTGAAAGACACTCCACATTATGGGGACACCCCTTTTATTTGAGGAAGACAATGTCCATAAACTCACATTATACATGGAACTGAATGTCTCTCTGGTTTGGGACGGCCCTTAACATGAGGGACCCTCACAGTGAATGAGATATTCTTTATAGTTTTCCTTTTATCATTTCCTTTCCTTATTTTGTTTGTCAAACCACAATTGAAAGTTGTTGATTCCATGTGGTTCAGTCCACCTTCATATTTTAACTCAGTAAAACAAAGATGACAGAAGATGAATAGAAACTTGTCAGGACCTTTAAAGGACAATGCTGGTGCAAAATGAACCTGGGGTTAATAACACATGTGTACCGAGTTGGTCCGTTCTCTGGGATATGTTTTCATGCTAATCGGCCGTGACCGGTTTTAGCACAATCTGCTAATTAGCTTATAACGCTAGTCAACGGGGCACAGAGTAACGTGAAAAGAAATCACTTTTTATACCACTAACAAGACTCAAAATAGCACCACACTTACACGGTAGCATAATGAGGGTCCCTACCTATAAACCGAAGCATTGGGAACTTTGTTGCGTCACGACACCCAAGAGGCAGTGTTTTGTACAGTCAGTACAGATTTCCCCTCTCTGATAAACAGAGCTGTACTCGCAGCGACTCATAGCGGAGGGACCAGATGGACAGTTATCCACTGAGTAAGTACACTAGACAAGTTGTGTTTTACATCGGTGCGATTATTTCTGATATATTGAGCAAATTACGTCTGTTTTAGTTCACATCGCCAGCTGTAAATCTTGATCATTGATCTGCATGAATGACCGAACCCCTGACTGTTTTCCCAAGATAGCGCCCGCCTGTATACGCGAACGCTACTGTTGTTCTAAACTATCTTTTTAATAAACTGTCTGTACACTTACAAAGTTCTCAATGCTTCGGTTTATAGGTAGGGACCCTCATTATGCTACCGTGTAAGTGTGGTGCTATTTTGAGTCTTGTTAGTGGTATAAAAAGTGATTTCTTTTCACGTTACTCTGTGCCCCGTTGACTAGCTTTATAAGCTAATTAACGGTTTGTCCAAACCGGTCACGGTCGATTAGCATGAAAACATATCCCAGAGAACGGACCAACTCGGTACACATGTGTTATTAACCCCAGGTTCATTTTGCACCAGCATTGTCCTTTAAGTAAAGTCACTCATACATTTTTTACACTGAGTTAACAGTTATCACTTGTTTTCTCTCAGTCTCTCCATCTCCTCCAGACGCTGATCCAAAGAGGGACGGTGAAGTCACATTAGAGTGCTCTCTGTCGAGATACATTGAACTCGGTCCTTGTAAACAGAACAGTGTCCGCTGGGTGGATGAGACAGGAACTGTGCTGCTTGATGAAGGTGTCGGTACAAGTTCATCGGACAGATGAACTGTGTCTCTGTTCTGAAAGTGAAGCGTCAGAGTGGCCACAACAGGAGATACACCTGCCAGTTTGTTGATGAGAACAATGTAAAGATAGAGGCTGACTACACACCTGTCTTCATAGGAGGGATAGGAGACGATCAGCCAGAAAAAACCTCATTCAGGTAAGATAATATGCAGCTCAACAGATACAGAGCTTTGCCTGTTGGTTTCTCAAAGTTTCACATGTTGGAGATAAAGTATTTTCACAGTAGAACAATTTTTAACATTCTGGTTATATTTTCTTGTAGGCCATTAACTATTGAACTTATATACTGTGATTACAGTGACGTATTTCTTTCTAAATCATGTTCAACAGATTCTACAGATTGGCCTCTGAGCCCTATCATGTTGGCTCTAAGAATAACAGCACTGATCCTAATGATTGTAATCACTGTTCTTGTCATCAGACAGAGGTGAGGAAACTCAGACCATCATTTGGTACAACTGCTTCATATAAATCATATGTTTAGAATTTTAATGGTACTTTTTATTGTTGTTTTTCAGTGAACACAAAACCACTTGATGACGACAATGTAAGTTAAAAAATAATGAATAAGATTTGGAAAATAAAAGATGTATCTTCTTCATTTGAGACTGTTGTTCCTTCTGTGCCCACAGAGGCTGCAGTCTCTCTGGTAGAAACATCAACAGTTTGTTCCCTTCAAAAAATTCAGAATCTCATTGGTTGTGTTGTATTTCACAGGTGCATCAGGATGGCGACCAAATCAATTATGAAACTGTAGAAGCACGTCCTGCTACTACTAGACTGCACTGATCAACAACTTCCACACCAACGTCAGCTCACCAGAAAGTCAAATATCATCACAGTCATTTTCCACATGGACAACAATACAGGCAAAAAGTTATCCTCCCAACCATCAATGCTTTTTTAATGTAATCTGTAACCTCACAAACTAATGTTAGTTGATGATGTGCTCTTTGGCCTTTCAATTAACGCTTGAGTAAATCATACTTTTCCAACCCTGAGACAAGAGAATGAATGACTGAGTGAAAACTGAAGAACATGAGTTTATGCCAGAGATTCAAACAAGTTCACGTCAGAGGGCCAAATTATTATTCAGGTTATTATTAAGTCTTCCCTGAGGATTAACTGCAAAATATGTTGCAGTGTGCTTATTATTTTGTCATTTTAAGTGCTTTAAGTCACCAGAATGCACAAATCAAAGGCACTGAAAGTCTGAAAGCGTTTTGAAATCCTCCTTGTTTTTAAAAGTATGCACCAGCCCTGTTTCCAGCAGTAGCAGGAAGCTCTACTGTAAACTACCTGCTCAGCACCAAACAACCAACAGACACAGTTAGGGACGAGCTGTTGAACATAAAGGAACATTTAGCAGCTAAAGAGCCAGAAATGTTTTTAAGGAGTTGGTGGAGATCAACACAGACCTAAAACAAGAGTGAATGGTGGGCTTACATTAAACAGGTGGATAAGAACACAACTTGCTGCTGCTTTGCTGGATGTTGTAAATACAGCTGTTGTATAACATCTGTTGTATACGTGATAATATGTCAGAGTTATTTCAGCTTTTCTTTTTGCAAAAAAGCAATAAATTGGCAACTTGAGCAAATAAATGTGTTGACAGTCTGATGTCAGCCTGACAGTATTAACCATCATATTCAACCTGAGTGTGTCTAACTATGTTTTATTTGACAGTATTGAGTTTGTGTCCACATTAAGTTATGAATACATTAGTCAGCGCATTAGCAAAGTAACTCACTGACATTCCTTCTATCCAGCAAAGACCTTATGTTGTTAGTGGTGTTCTGATAACCTGAGGTACAGCTTATTATAACTACAGTCTGCCACTGTCAGTGAGACATGGAGGCATTAAAGAACAGTAGCACCATCTTGTGGGTTTTCTAGCAACAAACTATCATCAAAGTATCCAGAGGACATATTTTATTCCCATGACAGAAACAACATATACTGTATATAATTTATCTTTGTAGATCCTTGAGTGCATTTATTTATGTGTAATAAAAACTGTCTGTAACCATCTGGAATCTGACTATAACTAGATTGGCTGCAGAAGAGTTTCATATCCTTAAACCATCAAAACTCATATCTTTTGTTAAAGTTAGACTTTATGTTCATAAACACTGCCCAGACTTTCTACTGTTTCAACTTATATAAAAAGCCTGTGTGTAAATATTTTACTGTTTTGTAATAAAGGTAAATAAAGTACTCCAGTTGTATACATTGGTGTTATGTTACAACACAACATTTCTCAAGTGATAATATATGTTCTGTTACAATGAATAGTCATTAACATATTGTATATTTAGTTAAAAGTGACACACAGTGTGTACATGAAGGAAAATAAAGAACCACGTGGGGGAGCACTGCAGCAGAGACAGATCTGTCAAAATGTTGTTGTTCCTTCCTCTTTTGACCCCTGAAGTGACAGAATGAACAATGACGTCATTTCCATTACTCTTTATGTTGATCACACTTGAGTCTGGGGCTAAAATAACTCTCACAAATTCCTTTAAATGAGACCAAAATGTACCATCATCCAGCTGATAAAAGATTACCGTTTGAGTTTCCAGCATGTTGACATTTGGACATACAAGGTTTTCATCTGATAAAAAAAAAGGAAAGAAGGATATTTATGTGTCTTAACATGTACTGTTTGTATATTTTGGGGGAAGTCTCATTACTTCCTGTAGATTATGAGCTGTATATCTGTTCAGTAAAGTCACGTTTAATGTATCTTAAATGATTTAAAAACTTAATAAAAAGTTATATTCTAATCTTTTTGTTTAAGAAGTATCAAGTTTGTGAAACACAAGTTTCTTTCTTTTGTGGCTGTCGTGTGCAGTCTGCTTGAAAGGAACATAGAAGTGATGATAGTCTAACTCTGTGGCACTTGTGGCGGGCTGGGTGGTGGGTGTTGCTGTTAAAAGTTATTTTCACACACTAAGTCATCCACAAACAGGAACTTTGTTTCATTGCCGCCATTAACAGATCTATAGTAGAGAAGAAAAGCCTCACACAGCGTCCGCATGCTGACAGAGAATAGACACAAAATGTCTCTACTGGAATTAATCCTTATTTTTGTGCTTCACTTTGAAGGTAAAGCTCTGTTTTCTTATTAAAATGGTAATAATAATATTATTAATAGAAACACTAGAGTTTGAGAATTTCCATTAACATTTGTTAACTGCTCGAGTGAAAAATAATGAGGAAGTAGTCACTATTGTCTTACTTAAAAGCCATTTTAATGAGCTTTGATCAACTTTCTGGCCTGTAAAAATGAACCAACGGTTGTGAGACAAGAACAGGATAGCAATATGAATCAATTATTTTTAGATAGATCCTTAAATACATATATACTTCAACATAGTAGATATAAAGATAAGTAATGATCATATAGTCCGTCTGCTCTCTGTGTTCTCATTGGTTCCTTTAAACTCCACCCAGGGGCGGATCTAGAGAAATATTCATGGTGTGGTAAGAGCGTGGCAGAAATATCTGCTGATTTAATCACATTTTAACTCAATAACATTACACTATTGTGGCACATTGGTAATAGAAATAGAATAGATTTAGATAGAAATATATAAATGTGGCATTAGAAAACAATAAATTGTTAAATATCTATATCTTCAGACATTTTTGTGTGTTTATTGAACTTAAGCTGATCACTGAGTCTATGATGTGACCATAACAGATCATTAAACTATATATGTTTAATTTTTTAACACACCAATTCTAAAATAAATATAAATAGACGTCAAAATGTGTTAAAATGTGACGGCAATTGACACCAAACTGGGGTGGTAAGGCATTTTAGATCCGACACTTTATTCCATCCATGTGATAAAGTATTATTGTATTTACATTGTAACTTGATGCAGTTAGTACACTAAAGTGCATAAGATGACACAAGTACATACAAAAGTAAACAAAGACAATAAGATCAGATCTGCAGTTTTTATTTGGTCTCAGACAACATTTGTTCATTGTCATCGACTGTGTGTTGCTTGTTTTGTTCCAGTTTTCACAGTGGAGGTAAGCTGTATCCCAAAGAGCCCTTGACTCACTGATTTACTGAGATAGAAATGAGAATTACTCTCATATAAACACAACCACTAGATGGCCGAGGGTCACACACTCCCTCCCTGTGGTTGCAAATGTGAAAAAACAGCAACAATAAAAAAACAGTTTATAACGGAACAATCTTTGTTTTTGTTTTGAGAATAAAATGAAATAAAATCCTCATGTTAACTGTTTAGTCTCCATACAGATGGTTTTATGTGTCATTTCTTACAGAACATGTATTCTTTTCTTCCCAGCAGGCATCAGTGGAGAACCTATCTATCTCTACAACAGATCTGGACATGATGTTATTCTGCCCTGTACCAGTGCATCACCCTCTGACACAACATGCTCCATCATTACATGGTTTTACAACACATATCAGTCTTATAGTTCCATTGAGGTTCGGAAAGGAAAAGTTGTGGAGAGCTCAGCCCGAGCTGCCAGGATGAGTCTGGACACTTCCTGCTCTTTGGTCATTAACAACATCACTGCTGAGGATGCTGGTCAATATGCCTGTCGGCAGGGGACGAGCCCTAATCATGATGCAATAGTATATCTAAGTGTTCTGACAAGTGAGTCTCAATTCCATAAAAACTCATTGAAATGATCAAGAGAGAATTTTACTTTTGGCAAATGTTTTTTGGGACAAAAATGTTGTATTGTTTCAAGCTCAACCTCAATCCAGTTATACATCCTTTTCTTGTCCACTATGTCTCTTCTTGAAAGGCATTTCCCAAACCCAACCAGTGAGCAAGGTGTCTGTCAGTGTAATATGTCAGTTTCTCATTAAGGTGAACCATGAAGAGTTTACCTGTTTATTTTATATCCTTCTTTATATTACGGTAAAGTAATTAACACTGTGGCCTTTTCCCAAACCGACCCCCTCCCTCACTCCCTCAGCTGTGAAAGACACTCCACATTATGGGGACACCCCTTTTATTTGAGGAAGACAATGTCCATAAACTCACATTATACATGGAACTGAATGTCTCTCTGGTTTGGGACGGCCTTTAACATGAGGGACCCTCACAGTGAATGAGATATTCTTTATAGCTTTCCTTTTATCATTTCCTTTCCTTATTTTGTTTGTCAAACCACAATTGAAAGTTGTTGATTCCATGTGGTTCAATCCACCTTCATATTTTAACTCAGTAAAACAAAGATGACAGAAGATGAATAGAAACTTGTCAGGACCTTTAAAGGACAATGCTGGTGCAAAATGAACCTGGGGTTAATAACACATGTGTACCGAGTTGGTCCGTTCTCTGGGATATGTTTTCATGCTAATCGACCGTGACCGGTTTTAGCACAAACTGTTAATTAGCTTATAACGCTAGTCAACGGGGCACAGAGTAACGTGAAAAGAAATCACTTTTTATTCCACTAACAAGACTCAAAATAGCACCACACTTACACGGTAGCATAATGAGGGTCCCTACCTATAAACCGAAGCATTGAGAACTTTGTTGCGTCGCGACACCCAAGAGACGCAGTGTTGTGTACAGTCAGTACAGATTTCCCCTCTCTGATAAACAGAGCTGTACTCACAGCGACTCATAGCGGAGGGACCAGATGGACAGTTATCCACTGAGTAAATACACTAGACAAGTTGTGTTTTACATCGGTGCGATTATTTCTGATATATTGAGCAAATTACGTTTGTTTTAGTTCACATCGCCAGCTGTAAATCTTGATCATTGATCTGCATGAATGACCGAACCCCTGATTGTTTTCCCAAGATAGCGCCCGCCTGTATACGCGAACGCTACTGTTGTTCTAAACTATCTTTTTAATAAACTGTCTGTACACTTACAAAGTTCTCAATGCTTCGGTTTATAGGTAGGGACCCTCATTATGCTACCGTGTAAGTGTGGTGCTATTTTGAGTCTTGTTAGTGGTATAAAAAGTGATTTCTTTTCACGTTACTCTGTGCCCCGTTGACTAGCGTTATAAGCTAATTAGCAGATTGTGCTAAAACCGGTCACGGTCGATTAACATGAAAACATATCCCAGAAAACGGACCAACTCGGTACATGTGTTATTAACCCCAGGTTCATTTTGCACCAGAATTTTCCCTTTAAGTAAAGTCGCTCAAACATTTTTTACACTGAGTTAACAGTTATCTCTTGTTTTCTCTCAGTCTTTCAATCTCCTCAGACTGATCCAAAGAGGGACGGTGAAGTCACATTAGAGTGCTCTCTGTCGAGATACTATGGACTTGATCGTTGTGAACAGAACAGCGTCCGCTGGGTGAATGAGACAGGAACTGTGCTGCTTGATGAAGGTGTCGGGTACAAGTTCATCGGACAGATGAACTGTGTCTCTGTTCTGAAAGTGAAGCGTCAGAGTGGCCACAACAGGAGATACACCTGCCAGTTTGTTGATGAGAACAATGTAAAGATAGAGGCTGACTACACCTGTCTTCATAGGGAGGGACAGGAGACGATCAGCCAGAAGAACCTAATTCAGGTAAGATAATATGCAGCTCACCAGATACAGAGCTTTGCCTGTTGGTTTCTCAAAGTTTCACATGTTGGAGATAAACTATTTTCACAGTAGAACAATTTGTAACATTCAGGTTATTTTCTCCTGCAGGACATTAAATATGGTATTTACTTATTAACAGACATGTTTTCTTTCTAAACCATGTTCAACAGATTCTACAGATTGGCCTCTGAGCCCTGTCATGTTGGCTCTAAGAATAACAGCACTGATCCTAATGATTGTAATCACTGTTCTTGTCATCAGACACAGAGGTGAGGAAACTCAGACCATCATTTGGTACAACTGGTTCATATAAATCATTTGTTTAGAATTTTAATGGTACTTTTTATTGTTGTTTTTCAGTGAACACAAAACCACTTGATGACGACAATGTGAGTTAAAAAATAATGAATAGTATCTGGAAAATAAAAGATGTAACTTTTTCCTTTGAGACTGTTGTTCCTTCTGAGCCCACAGAGGCTGCAGTCTCTCTGGTAGAAACATCAACAGTTTGTTCCCTTCAAACAATTCAGAATCTCATTGGTTGTGTTGTATTTCACAGGTGCATCAGGATGGCGACAAAGTCAATTATGAAACTGTAGAAGCACGTCCTGCTACTACTAGACTGCACTGATCAACAACTTCCACACCAACGTCAGCTCACCAGAAAGTCAAATATCATCACAGTCATTTTTCCACATGGACAACAATACAGGCAAAAAGGTTATCCTCCCAACCATCAATGCTTCTTTAATGTAATCTGTAACCTAAGGTGACCAGATTTCCGAAATGAAAATCGGGAAATTTTTTAGCGTGGTGGTCAAAATCGTTAATCGTTATCGTTATAAAATAAATAATAGGGGCAATTACATGTTAATGTATTTTGACAAAGCAAATGAGTAGCCAATAAGAAGTTACCTTTAACCCTTCCAAACTGTTAACCAATATGAAGAACTTGGATTCTGATTTGACTCTGATTCTTCTTCTTATTATTATTATTTATAGTTTTTTTTTTTTTTAGCTATGTCAATCAACTCACGGGAGCTTGTCAACATGTGCACACTTCCACTTGTGACTTCAGCCATATTTCACAGCAAAGCATTACATGAGAGGATTTACACTTACGCTGTACACTCCTTGTGATAGAAAGTCAGAACAAACTCTGAGTGCAACCTGCAACGCGTGCTTCCCCCTGTAAGGACGGTGCCCCTAAAATAAAATAAAAGGAGGCGCTCTCCAGCTGGCTCCCCCGTCACTCACCTGCAGCTGCACGGACGAGCAGAGGAGCGCTCTGCTGTTGTGGCGTGGATGTGCCGCAGCACAGCGGGAGCAGAGACCAGCTGGTCGACACAAGCCATTTACTGCGTAACGTCAGCACGTTAGTTAAACTGGTTTAACCATAATAACTGGAGTGTGCATCCATACGCAACTTTTTTCTCCCCCATTCAAGTCGGGGACATTCTCGGGGACAGCTTTAACCGGGGGACAGGTCGGCCAAATCGGGGACTGTCCCCAAAAATCTGGGACGTCTGGTCACCCTACTGTAACCTCACAAACTAATGTTAGTTGATGATGTGCTCTTTGGCCTTTGAATTAACGCTTGGGTAAATCATACTTTTTCCAACCCTGAGACAAGAGAATGAACTAGAAAATTCCTAAAGAAATTTTGATTGTGCCTTGCTCTCTAGCACGCTAGCACTAGCATATTAATGCCATGTCAGCCTCTGTAGCTAGCTATGTGTGTGTGTGTGTGTGTGTGTGTGTGTGTGTGTGTGTGTGTGTATGTGTGTGTGTGTGTGTGTGTGTGTGTGTGTGTGTGTGAGAGGCAGGCTTTGGTTGTCATGGCAATCAGGGAGGCCACAGCAGCTGCGCGCGCTCTCTCTCTGTCTCTAACTCCTCAGAGAGACAGAAACATTTAAAATGAATCCCCCTCGAACCCATGGCCAGGAACGACCGAAATGAAAACCGAAAAGAGCCGTGAGCGTCGTCATCTTGTTGACTATAGCACTGCCGAGTTTCAGTGGTTAAAGTTAAAAAATGTGACCTGGGGAGATTGAGAGAGAAGAGGTTCAACGAGCTCCTTTAAACATTTCTCCTCTACATTTAACATGGGAGTAGATGGGGCCGTGAGAGGGTGTTGCTGGCGCATCAGTGCGTCTCCCGCCAAAACTATTTGTCTGACAGCTTCAACAGTGGTATCACTGCGACCCCAACGAGTTTACCTACGTTTCTAACTATAAATTATTTCTGTAGAGTGATATTTGTGGCCTTGAGAACAGTTTACAAATTTATTTTTCGACAATTTTTTCTCTCTCCCCACACTCTAGCGATGATGTCACGCACTCTGGCAGTTGAACATTCTCGCAATACACACCCATTCATTTTTTGGACAGGTTTTTGGCGATTTATCGGCAAACTGTTTGGCGAAACGCTTAGAAAAGTCACAGCACTAATGTCTCTCACCGAGCCGCACGTTTTGATACCTTTTTGTGTATGTGCGACCAAAACTGCGGAGGAGAAGCAGGCCGAAAAAACGTACGGAAGAATAATAATAAGTACGGGAAGAGTAGTATTGTGCTTTTCAAGGCACAATAATAATGACTGAGTGAAAACTGAAGAACATGAGTTTATGCCAGAGATTCAAACAAGTTCACGGTTTATTATTAAGTCTTCCCTGAGAATTAACAGCAAAATATGTTGCAGTGTGCTTATTATTTTGTCATTTTAAGTGCTTTAAGTCACCAGAATGCACAAATCAAAGGCACTGAAAGTCTGAAAGCATTTTGAAATCCTCCCTGTTTTTAAAAGTATGCACCAGCCCTGTTTCCAGCAGTAGCAGGAAGCTCTACTGTAAACTACCTGCTCAGCACCAAACAACCAACAGACACAGTTAGGGACGAGCTGTTGAACATAAAGGAACATTTAGCAGCTAAAGAGCCAGAAATGTTTTTAAGGAGTTGGTGGAGATCAACACAGACCTAAAACAAGAGTGAATGTTGGGCTTACATTAAACAGGTGGATAAGAACACAACTTGCTGCTGCTTTTTGCTGGATGTTGTAAATACAGCTGTTGTATAACATCTGTTGTATACGTGATAATATGTCAGAGTTTTTTTTTCAGATTTTCTTTTCAAAGAAGCAATAAATTGGTAACTTGAGCTTTAAATTATTTTAAATAATTTTATTTCTGTTTAAATTGTTTAATTTATGTGTAATAAAAACTGTCTGTAACCATCTGAAATCTGACTATAAATAGATTGGCTGCAGAAGAGTTTCATATCCTTAAACCATCAAAACTCATATCTTTTGTTAAAGTTAGACTTTATGTTCATAAACACTGCCCAGACCTTTCTACTGTTTCAACTTATATAAAAGCCTGTGTGTAAATATTTTACTGTTTTGTAATAAAGGTAAATAAAGTACTCCAGTTGTATACATTGGTGTTATGTTACAACACAACATTTCTCAAGTGATAATATATGTTCTGTTACAATGAATAGTCATTAACATATTGTATATTTAGTTAAAAGTGACACACAGTGTGTACATGAAGGAAAATAAAGAACCACGTGGGGGAGCACTGCAGCAGAAACAGATCTGTCAAAATGTTGTTGTTCCTTCCTCTTTTCACCCCTGAAGTGACAGAATGAACAATGACGTCATTTCCATTACTCTGTATGTTGATCACACTTGAGTCTGGGGCTAAAATAACTCTCACAAATTCCTTTAAATGAGACCAAAATGTACCATCATCCAGCTGATAAAAGATTACCATTTTAGTTTCCAGCATGTTGACATTTGGACATACAAGGTTTTCATCTGATAAAAAAAGGAAGAAGGATATTAATGTGTCTTAACATGTACTGTTTGTATATTTTGAGGAAGTCTCATCGCTTCCCTTTAGATTATGATCTGTATCTGTGTCTAGTAAAGTCACTTTTAATGTATCTTAAATGATTTAAAACTTAATAAAAAGTTATATTCTAATCTTTTTGTTCAAGAAGTATCAAGTTTGTGAAACACAAGTTTCTTTCTTTTGTGGCTGTCGTGTGCAGTCTGCTTGAAAGGAACATAGAAGTGATAGTCTAACTCTGTGGCACTTGTGGGGGGCTGGGTGAAAGTTATTTTTCCACATTAAGTCATCCACAAACAGGAACTTTGTTTAATCGTCGCCATTTACAGATCTATAGTGGAAAAAGCCTCACACAGCGTCCCGCCTGCTGACAGAGAATAGACACAAAATGTCTCTACTGGAATTAATCCTTATTTTTGTGCTTCACTTTGAAGGTAAAGCTCTGTTTTCTTATTAAAATGGTAATAACAATATTATTAATAGAAACACTAGAGTTTGAGAATTTCCATTAACATTTGTTAACGGCTCGAGTGAAAAATAATGAGGGAAGTAGTCACTATTGTCTTACTTTAAAAGCCATTTTAATGACTGATCAACTTTCTGGCCTGTAAAAATGAACCAACGGCTGTGATACAAGAACAGGACAGCAATATGAATCAATTATTTTAGATAGATCCTTAAATGCATATATACTTCAACATAGTAGATATAAAGATAAGTCATGATCATATGGTCCGTCTGCTCTCTGTGTTCTCAATGGTTCCTTTAAACTCCACGCAGGGGCGGATCTAGAGAAATATTCATGGTGTGGTAAGAGGGTGGTAGAAATATCTGCTGATTTAATCACATTTTAACTCAATAACATTACACTATTGTGGCACATTGGTAATAGAAATAGAATAGATTCAGATAGAAATATATAAATGTGGCATTAGAAAACAATAAATTGTTAAATATCCAAATCTTCAGACATTTTTGTGTGTTTATTGAACTTAATCTGATCACTGAGTCTAAAATGTGGCCATAACAGATCATTAAATTATATATGTTTCGTTTTTTCAACACACTAATTCTAAAATAAATATAAAATAGACGTCAAAATGTGTTAAAATGTGACGGCAATTGACACCAAACTGGGATGGTAAGGCATTTTTTGAGATCAGACTGTCTTTATTCCATCCATATGATAAAGTATTATTGTATTTACATTGTAACTTGATGCAGTTGGTAACATAAAGTGCATACGATGACACAAGTACATACACAAGTAAACAAAGACAATAGGATCAGATCTGCAGTTTTTATTTGGTCTCAGACAACATTTGTTCATTGTGATCGACTGTGTGTTGCTTGTTTTTTTTGTTCCAGTTTTTCACAGTGGAGGTAAGCTGTATCCCAAAGAGCCCTTGATTCACTGATTTACTGAGATAGAAGTGAGAATTACTCTCATATAAACACAACCACTAGATGGCCAAGGGTCACGCCTCCCTCCCTGTGGTTGCAAATGTGAAAAAAACAGCAACAATAAAAAAGCAGTTCATAACGGAACAATCTTTGTTTTTGTTTGAGAATAAAATGAAATAAAATCCTCATGTTAACTGTTTAGTCTCCATACAGATGGTTTTATGTGTCATTTCTTACAGAACATGTATTCTTTCCTTCCCAGCAGGCATCAGTGGAGAACCTATCTATCTCTACAACAGATCTGGACATGATGTCATTCTGCCCTGTGCCAGTGCATCCCCCCTATGACACAACATGCTCCATCATTACATGGTTTTACAACAGAGATCAATCTCAAAAAATTTCACTGAGGTTCAGGAAGGAAAAGTTGAGAAGAGATCAGCCAGAGCTGCCAGGAT